GCCCCATCCAGCTGGGAACAGCTCTGGGGGGGACCTGCACCCCTGCACAGCCCCATCCAGCTGGGAACACAGCTCTGCTCCAGCTCTGCTCCCCCCTCTGCCCGGGCAGGGAAGGATCTGGCTCCAGGGGCAGCTGCTGCAAACCCAGTCAGGGTGTGAACCTAAACCTGCACTGGTCCTGCACGGCTCCTGCTCAGCTAAGAAGGGACCTTTCTGCAGTTTAGGCCAATAACAATTTCCACAGTCAATGAATTTCCACTAATTTCAGGGCAGTGAAGCAGCACTATGGCAAAGGGATGAGGGTGCATCCTTTGCTATCCCAAGGAAGGACAGAGGACAGGACCACGAGGCTTCTTACACAACCCCAGACACGAAGAAGATGCAGTCACAACAAATAAGGAAAACGAGCTGTTGAACAGCAGGGATTTCCATGCCCACTCAGTTTTGCTTTTAGCCATATTTGATTTGAGAGAGCCGTGAATTTTGCTGGCTGGAACAAAATCTTCTGTGATTTAAGTGCCTGAGCCTTTGTCAAAGCTTTACATTTAGAAACAAAATGTTTTTCAATAAAGCTTCTATAAATTAACATCTCTATAAATGATCATTTTATATGTCTCTGGGTGCGGGTTTTTTTTTTACTGTATGTTGAACTTTATAAAGATTTCGTCTTTATTTGCTTTGAAATTACGATTTCAGACTGTAGCAAAGACAGCCTAACTCAATGACTCAAAATCCTGAAGGGCTTGGGGTTTTTTTTTAATGTAGAGCAACACAGCAAAACTGCATCACGAATTTAACAAGCCATTAACTGAATCCTGTAAAATTCTAATTTCTTACGCTGGCAAGTAAACAGTCACGGATACTTCAAGTTTTTCATTGTTCCTGATACTTTTTCACGCCCTTTTTTAAAAACAGGTTAGTAAATAGTTGACTGTCTGAATGGAAAGCACTCCTAAGTCAGATAAGCTCAGTATTTGTAGTCACGTGGCACTGAAGCTTCAGATTTGAGCCCAGACATAAAATCAAATCAGTGCACTCACTTCCTTAAACAGTAAGAATTTTTAAACAAAATATTATTCATTTCTTTGCTTTCCTTGCTATAAGAATGTACCTTTAAAACCAGTGTTAACAGGTAGAAACTGCTGGAGGATTCCCACACCGTTGGCTGGCTACGGCATTGAATCCTCACAACCTTTTTCCTTGCATCCCCAACTTCCTGAGCAGAACCTGACCCCCGAATTCCAGAGGGCTCCAGGGCCAGCTGCCATACCTTGGAAGGGCGAGGGGGAGGACTGTGCCATCTGGATGTGCTCCTCAGTGATCAGGTAGATGGGCTGGTGCTGAGCGATCTCCACGCTCGTGCACACGTTGCTTTCCCCGTGCAGGAAGAAGGTGAAGGCACAGGACAAGTGTTCACTGCAAGAGAAACGGCTTCATTAGCGTGGAAAGGAACTCTGAGCAGGCTGTGACTCCAAACACACCCCCTCCTGTCCTCAGGCTCACTGCTGATTGATAGTCAGACCTGACAGAAGGATCTGTCACTGCACAAATCACTGACAGTGTTGGCAGCTGCTGCAGAGACGGGTCTTCCTACTGGTTTAAAATGATAAGTTCATTACAGACAAACGGGATTTGAACCAGGAGTCAAGCACTAAAAATAAGGGTCTTCAGAAAGTCCTCTAAGTTCTATTCGAGTTCTATTCGAGTTCTATTCGAGTTCTATTCGAGTTCTATTCGAGTTCTATTCGAGTTCTAATTCAGGTTCTATTCCAGTTTATTCCAGTTCTAATTCAAGTTCCATTCAAGTTCCATTCCAGTTCTAATTCAAGTTCTAATTCAAGTTCTATTCCAGTTCTAATTCAGGTTCTATTCCAGTTTATTCCAGTTCTAATTCAAGTTCCATTCAAGTTCCATTCCAGTTCTAATTCAAGTTCTAATTCCAGTTCTACTCCAGTTCTAATTCAGGTTCTATTTGAATTCTATCCAAGGGAATAAAAAAGGGAACCTGAAAGGCCTAATACCTCATGAGAATCTCCATTAAGGAACATAAAAGCACATGACTGTTATGAAATGTTGACAATGGGCTAAGGTGAACCAAGGATTGGCCACAGATCATCCAGTTTAATGTGAAATGAGTGCTGTTGAAAATGTTCTCACTTCATTCTGCCCATGGAACAGCCTCCCATCACAGCAAACCATTTGCTTCAACACTCCTTGCCAGAAAGCCACGGGAAAAAAAAAGAAAACAAAGCACATTTTGTGCCTTTTCTCATCATTTTAAGGGAGTGGAAATGCTCAGAGCTGCAGTGGGAAGCATGCAGCAATGTTCCTGTCCAGTTCAATAGCTGGGCACAGTTTGAGGGCTGTTGGCTTTGGCTCTGGGCCATCCTTGGTGGGACCTGGGTTTTAGAGACAGCTCTCACTCCCTTCAGCTCTAACCATCTAACAGCCTGTCCTCGCTCCTCTGTGAGCCTCAAATCCTACCACCAAAAAAGGCACCTGGAGAGAAAAGGTGACTTAAGTGACAGGTGACAACTGCACGTCCTTGGTGCTGCCATCCCGGATTCTGAAGTACTTCAGAGCAATAATTTAATTCCATGAAATAAAAGGTTTCCTTAGATTTTGATTTTCATGAGGGAAAGAAGTTACACCACCCACAGTGTTGAAGAAGTAAACAGATTATTAATTTGCATGAGGAGGGAGGGAGGGAATGGGACATGGGACAAAATGGGGCACAGATTCCAGGTATTTCTATCCAGCTGCCTTGCCCCCAGAGGAAAAACAAACCAATCCATGCAATAAAAACCCCTGAACAATGGATTTCTGCACACACAAGAAATACAAAATTAAAGCAGAGCCCAATTATTTAATCAAAGCCCATTAGTTTCCTTGCACAGGATGAGAGCCTTTAATATAAAAAAAGTCTTAAGAAATAAAAAAAACCATGAGAAATCTGGTCTAAGATCAAGTGGGGATAATTTCTGCACAGAGTCCACAGCAGCAGGTTGGCCTTTCTAAAGCAGAGAGCAAAGCTATTTGTAAAGGAGGTATTTTCAACCCCTGTCTTTAGGATATTACAGAAATCCTCTGGATTCTGCAAGCTTCCTACAGGGTTTGACTGGGGGTCTTGCTTGGCTGATATTGAACTGAAGAGAAAAAATTGCCTTTTGGGACCACATAAGGACCCTTTTGAGTCTCCTGCAAAGTGGTGTGGCAGGAACAGAGCATGTAACATTCACAGCTCCCCATAAACACTGTGAGAATGAGAAATACACACAGGCAGGGGCTGAAAGACAACAGAGTCATGTTTTTGGAGGGAAGGGAATGCATGCCAGGACTTTCAATGGAGAATCATCCAACACCAGAATTAATCACTAAGATCAGAACGTTAGTCTGGGAGTAAAAGTGTATAAAACTAATTGTAGGGAGAAAGGTACACAGGTACAGTATTAGCCCATTTTGCTTTCCTGCAAATAGGCCAGATTAAAGAATAACAGGAATGAATATTCCTGCTGATGCCCAGCAATAAATACCTCACTAGTGAAAGATGGATCATCTCTAGCACTGAATCCAAACTAAATCAGGCTCAGTTCTAGAAAGAGCCCAACAAAACTCCATCACTCCAGTGTTTCTTCTCTTCAGAGCAGAGCTCCTGGAGCTGCTGTCCCTGCTGGCACAACACCCCCTGCCCAGCAGCTCAGACCCTCCAGCTCCAAGCCCTCTGTGTCCTCCCTGGGCTCCCCCACCCGGCTTTGCTGGAGAAGCAGCAGCGACAGCACAGTTCAGCTCCTCTGGTTCCAGTCACTGCCATAAGCTCAGCTCTCAGGACCAAAAATAACAAAGATCAAGGCCTGGGGACTTCCTCCCTTCCTCCCAAGTCCTGGCAGATCCCAAGGAAAACGTTTACTTTGGTACCAAAGCGGAATTTCATTCCAAGGAAGCGCTGTCAGCACACTGCTGATCCCGCTCTGGCATGTGCTCCCAGGCTCTGACATTCCTGCCTGCAGCACAGCTCCCAATTCCTTAAATACCAGGCTGCACAAATCACTCTCACTGCAAATGGGAGCCAGATCTCCCATCAAATCCAAGCAGAGAACCCTCCCCAGGCTCAGAGCAGCCCAGCCTTCCCCGCAGCCTGAGCACAAGGCTTGACCCAGACCCTGCTTTGCTCTGCAGCACATCCAGACACACCTCAGACCTCCAAAATCCCACACACCATCCAGCTCCTCACTGGCACCTTCCAACACCATCAATACCCAGTTTTCCTCCCAGATCCACAATCTTTGCACCAACAAAGGCACCCCAGAAACAGCCAAACAAAATGCAGATCAGACTGGAGCTCCCAAGGACAGCCAGCACCGTGTTCACACTGATTTGGTATTTTACCTTATTTACATTTCTTTCAACCTGATTCAAAAACTGAGGCTGACAGGCTTCTGAGAAGCCTCCCCCACTATCTCTGGAGGTTTTTAGACACACTCATTCCTGTATTCATTCTGATCAGATATTCAAAATATCAGAAACCACCAGCAAGGCACAGGGGATGGCTGCCAAACACTCTGCTCTGCTCCACAAAGCGTTACAACACCTTGACTTGTCAGCTCATACCTGTCCAAGTACAGCCATGAAAAGGTCACTAATTTGGCACAGCTGCACTGTCCATTCCCTCTGCATGTATTAATGACTTACACAAGGAACAAAGACCGCTCACCATCAGGGTTTTGAGTCAGAACTGTGACCCAGAGGAGAGGAAGAAAGGCCAGAAGTGTGAGAAGCAGGTGACCCTGCTGAGCAAGGCCCCAGCCTGACCCAGGGGGGACAACGGGCCATAGATTCCCTAGAAGCAGCTCCAAATCAGAAACCTGGACCAGACTGAACCATCTAATGCATTGGGAAAACAAATGTTGGGGGCAGTGAAATGCAATTATTTATGCCTTGGGTGTGGTATGAAGTGAAAATGCTCAGCCATGTCACCGGGAATTCCTTTGGAAATATATTTCAGCTGGACTAATTCAGTATAAACCCTATTGGGATTAACCCTACCAGGGAGAGTCTGAGGGTTTGAATTTCTTGCTTTCCTTGGCTTTTTTTCAGGCACACAGCCAGTGCCACCACAGACAGATTTTCCATGAGAAAATCTCAACACAAACTTAAGTGAAGCCTGCTCTTCTCGTCCTATTTTATAAAAATCAGAAACATTTCCAAAGACTGCAGATCTGTGACAGTCCTCTGGTCACACTGAGCAGGAGCTGTCTCCTTTTTTACAGGTGTTTTTTCAGAAGCCTTTCCTCTCTTTCCAGGTGCCTGATGGTCAGGATGGTCCATCAGTCAGGATGTCACCTTCCCAAATGGAATGTACACAACATACATGGAATATCTGTTATTTATTAGGGCTGAGGTGTGAAAAATGCTGAGCACTGTGCTCTCCAGCCAGCACAACACCTTGGCATACACTCCCAAGAATATTTCCACTATGGTCACTGAGACTTACATGCTAAAATTAAAATAACTGTTGAAACAGGAGGACAGAAATACAAAGAAATGGCAATGTCACAGAGCCTTTTGCAATAAAAGAAAAGATCTGTGTCCTTCTCCTAAGAATTGCAGGGATTTTTTTTCCCTGTAACACAGAAGAACCTTCAAATAAAGTGTCAAACCTTCAATTTGGCACCTAATCACCTGCAGCTGCCATCAACTGCTTTTCAGCTGTTTCCTCTGGGATCTTCATTACCTTAAATAACTCTGGAGATGCCTAAAAATGCAGCTGAATCCCCCTGTCAATGTGATATTTAGGACTTCTCATAATCTTTCTGAATGTCAATCCCTCGGTTGCTATAAATGACTTGAAGAAAATAACATTACATTAAATTTGCTCATATATAAAAAAATCAGATGAGGATTAGGAAAATCTGACTGTGTTTAACCAGCACAACGTTGGCAGAGAGAGGAGAACATCTGATGCATTCAGGTATTGTTTCCAGTTGTTGGGAGGTTTGTATAAACACCCACTGGAACCTGAGTGTGAATTCAAACTGTAAAGAGATTATTTTTAATCACCTCAATGACAAAAATGCCAACTTAAAATCGAGTTTGGAGTGTAGGTACTGAAGCACACCTGTGTATAAAGCCAAACTGAACCTCACAACAGATTTTAAAACACGTGACAAATGTGGAAATCAATTACCTCAGGAAAATAACAATAAAACCTGCCAGTAACAATTACTTTGGGATTTGGGGAAGAAGAATCTACAAAAAAACCTTAACTGAACATAACCAATTTTTTTTTTCCTTATCAGAGGGACATTTGATAATAGTTTCACTATATGAATTTTATCATTATTATTATTTTAATGACTGGAATCATCTCTGCCAGTCTTGGTTTGTCCCAAACACTGCAACCTCTTTACACACCTGGG